AGACCGGTACAGCAGAACAGGCTTTATTGACCAATCAGAAGCCAGAGCCACGCGTCAGGCGCCTTCCATCCGAGTCCACCCGCTCATTATATACTGCATCTCATCCATGTCCTTCTCTGGTAGGCTGCCTTCCTTTCCCGCATGCCATTGGATCGCAGAGAGACACGGGATTGGCTGAGGCCAGGTGGTCCAACATGTCTGCGCCCCGATCCGACGCCACACCACATCACACTAACGCAGCTCACTGTTTTGCAGAGTTCTTTGAAAAGCTGACTCTAGACGTTGGATCGTTGGGTCGAAGGGGCAGTTTCAATCAACTCAATAAGGCATGATTTCGTCGGCGTCTCCGTGGCTATCTGTGGGGGTTCTAATGGCATCAAGGTCACTGAGAAAAACGAATTTGATTGAGCGAGGCTGATGTCGATTGGTTCTTAAATCGGTGACATCTTTGTGCAAGCGAAGTAAGTCGCAACGTGCAGTCTGGGATAAATGGGACACGAACTGTACATGGATTAAACATGCTTGGACCCAAGTCACGAAAAATCCCATGAAGTTAGAAGATGGGTGATTCGTTGTGAGGTAGAGGTGGAGGATGTTGAGAGTTATCACACGAAGGATGACATTGCTGGAAATCTGGCTTTGAATACAAGTACATCTGTCCTCGTGTTGGTGAGTGGGGATGACTTCTGAGATTCGATTTTTTAGTGGCGGTGGTGGTGGTGATGGGGGAGGCGGTGATAAAGGCGGAGGTAAATATGCAGGAGATGGTGCTGGAAGTGATACGGGAGGAGAAGGAAAAGGTGCTGGAACTAATGGAGGGAGTGTTAGTGGTGGCAGACGTGTTGGCTGAAGGTAGTTAAGAGGATGTTGGTAGAGGGGGAGGTGAAAATGGAAGAGGTTATGGTGAAGAATATGGTGGAGGAGAAGAAGGTGGTGAGATCGCTGGTGGTGGTGGTAGTGAAGGAGGTGACAGTGGAGGCGACGGCAGTGAAAGAGATGGCGTAGGAGGGGGTGATCGAGGACGAGGTAGTGATGGAGGAGGAGGCGGTGGTGGAAGTTATAATGGAGGAGAAGGATAAGGAAAAGGTACTGGAAGTAATGGTGGGAGTGCGGAAGAGGTGGTGGTGGTGGTGGTGAACACATGAATCGAGCAATGGTGAGTCACGGTGAAAGGTTTTCCTTTAAAGAGAGGTAAGTACTTTAATCCAGAGGCAGATTAAAACACGTTTTTGGTGTCAGAAGCGAGTGAGTTCCAGCTGCAGGTAAGGCAAACCCTACGGGAGAAAGAAAGCTCAAGTATCGGTCTTATTTGGAAATAAGCTGCTTCCCGCCTTTATAAATTTGACCTCCTTTAGTTTACTTTAATTTGTCTACTTAATTTTCGCAATTAACCAAAGAATGTGAGGTAATATCCTCATGAATTTTCTCTAGTCGACTAAAATTTATACAAAAATCAGGATTAGTGTTGTAGAAAACACCTCAGTGGAGTATTGTAAGGAGGTGGCTGGGAGTAGACATGTGGCTTTGGTGAAGACGTTGGTGGAAAATACGGAGTGTAAGACTTGTAGTGCTGTCGCATGGTGCTGGTAGTGTTACCTCCTTGTGGAATATTTGAGTGCCGAAATTGAGCAGTCACAGGATTAGGCACGCATTTTCGACTGCTTGCCTGAAATGGAAGCAGTGTGTTACAGAATGCAGCGACACCTCGGGAACCGAGCCGCTCCAAACTCACTCAGATCCCGATAAGAGATCCTTTCGCATAGACCAAACTCTTTTCTCAGTCGCAACATTCTCATGTGGATAAACCTGGCCTCTACTCTTGTCCCTCTTCGAATTAACTCCCTCTTTCTTCGCCTTTATCATTGACTCAGGCAGATTGGCGACCATCACATCGCTTTTGTTAAAAAGGACCCCCGTACGTGGGCTTCAGGAATTGACCAAGCAGGAGTTCTTTGGGGTCACACAATCATTAATGCATCGACGGCCGTTTGCGTGTCTACAAATTTACTTCTGTCTCGAGTTGCAACCAACAGCGTGAAGGGGTAGTCAAGTAGCCAATTTCGTATTAAAAGTCGAACTACTTCTTCGTCATGGAGAAACCTAACGTCGGCGTGCTAAGAACTTGTGCTTGACGGTTCTCCAAACCAACCTTATATGGTCTGCTCACAAAATTAAGGGTACCAAAAGATGCAACATGTATAAAAATGACAATCGAAGGCGGTGCTGCAAATTGCTCACACATGGGGCTAATCAAATCTAATTCTTACATTCAAAACAACATAACATTTTAACCAAGCTGAGACTACTTGTAATGTGGCATGTGCGAAACACTCTGAGCACAGGTCCTATCAATGAGTGGCATTCAGAAATCCGACGAAGAAATGTTTCATCAACGACCACCAACGACTTGCTTTATTTGCAGTGAATTGATGTCGAGCTTTGTTGACGTGTTTAACAAGCATTTCAGCAATGACCAGGGTGGTGGTGAACGATACCACAGTTGGAAAGCAGCTTGTACTGAATTGAGCTGATGACAGTAAATTGTGGATTGCTTATGATTAAGAGGGTTGTGCGTTAGAGAAAGTTATAAAGGATACACAGTGAGTGAGCTTGCAATCGGTTAACGATTGTTGCAGGCGACAAGGTCAGCATAATTAATTAACTTTCAAATTTTTCTCAACCCTCTTTAGTGTTAACGATGTGCAAGTCGGTTTCTGTAAGCCCCTGTGTAGAAAAAAAGTGCAATAGGCAACTCTCCTTGGCTCGATCCACGAAACTGACAAGAAGTAAATTGAGCACCGTGATCAGAGGTAATCGACACGGGAAAAGCGTATGACGAAACACGCATGAAATGATTTCGGTTACATCGTCTTTAATGAGAACAGCTATCGGCCAGCAAAAAAACGGTCCATAGGAGTTAGGACATAGGTGACAAACGACAAGAACGTGGAAGAGGTCCAAGGATATCTACATGTAAATGTCGGAATCGAGCATGTCGCGTGATCAAATGAAGACACCGTTATTAGTTAGCTTAACGCAGAGCAAACCTTTTAGACCTCAATGCAACCTTTTATTTTGCCTTCAGCAATTTTGGCCCGTCTTTACGATTATTGCATCACAATAATCCCTCGAAAACGCATTTCCAATGTGGACACAGTCGAAATTGACACAGATGGCAAAGACCCCTACCTGAGAAACCACAAGCGATGCGGCAGTATCCAATGACACAATCAACTCACAGCTTACATCGTTTTCTCGGTTTGGTCAACTGCTCAGTACGGTACATTGTAAATGCCGCCAACATTTTGTCTCCACTTGTCGACTTACTTGAAACGAATTGCAAAATGCAAACGCCTACGAAGGAGTCAACAGCTGCTTTTCAAGTCACTAAGGATGTAAACTTGAATCAGGCGAGCATGAATTAAGCTTGTTCACGAGTTGGTCGAATGTTGCTTTTATTGTAGACTACAGTTGACGCGCTGTGTCATAAAAGACTTGAATGGACCAAAGTAAATAAATCGTGATATTTGCAATCATCAAACTGCTACGGCCTGTCGACTATCAGGGTTACAAGGCAGTGCTAACTAAGCCGCTACAAAAGCAGATGTCACGGGCAACTAGGAGGTGAAACAAAGCTTTTCTCTTCCAACAGATGCTTCTCAGACTGCTTTTGTCTCAATTCGACGGCAGAACCTAGACGGCTACACTCGGCAATTGGGATTCTTTTTTTGAAAAGGTTAAATTAGCTCACACCAGTTGCAGCACATCCTGGTCACTTACGATGCCGTGAAACACTTTCGTTATCTCTTAGCGATCATGAGCCTTTGAATCACGAATTCTATGCATCACCTAATCGGCATTCCTCACGCGAAGCCAGGTATACGGATTGAGTTTACCACTTCACAACCAGCATTCATCCTGTCCAAATTCTCCAGACGCTTGCGTCTAATCGCTTCAAGCATTTGGCCCTCGAACACTACCCTTTCTCTCCTCCTACTCTCTCCTCTTCAGCTAGTCATTCTCTTGCTAGCCAGCGTTGCTCAGCCATTTCGGCATGGTAAATAGCGTCATCCTTCTCAGTCAAGAACTCGTCCTTACCAGATCCCCTGTAGACCCCTTAATGGGGCCCCTAGGAGGTGGTCTCGTTGAAGGATCAGGTCGTTTCTTGGAACGACCCTGTCCTGCAAGTGCATTGGCAGCAGACGGCCTGCGACAAGAGATTGACTTGGAAGCAGAGGATTTCGTGGTGAAATTATCACATGCCAGCTTCTAGTCTTGTGACATAGCTCTTTGTTTGCTTCTACCATCTCCATTAGCTGCAGCGTTATGCTTTCTGATCCCGGCACTTGCAATTCGTGGAGGTGGAGCACTGATGGAACGAGTGGCTGAACTGCCAAAGGCGACTGGGAAAAACGTCGTAATGCGATCTCTATTAGCCGATGAGATGGTAACCTGGGTCGATAGACCTGACTTTATGTGTGAAGAAGGCATTCCTTGTCTCAACACGTCTAGACGTAACAATGTAGCTATTCAGCCCCGATGTGTTTTTTATACCGTAAATGAATTAAATCGTGTTAATTTACGCTTGCTGTGTTCGCGCATACTTGCTGCCAATGTTCGTTTGCTGATCGCAATAAATCTAAGTGTCCCTTTAGATTCGGATTTGAAGTGAGTGTCGAGTTAACAACTGCTGCCGATTCAACGCCGTGTACATCGCGGCGACATGTATTGGCGGCAAATACATTGTAAAAGTGGTAGTGTGAATATAAATAAAGCTATTTTAGACAAGATTGTCTTGTGGGTGGAAAGTTGTCGGTTTGGACGAGTCGAGGCCGATGATATGTTTGCAGGGCATCTGGCGGAATTGTGGAATTAAAATGGCACGCCGAAGAAGCCCGTGCACAAACGCCGACAAATCGCAAACAAACACAAACCCACAACCAGTAGAAATGCAGTCCAAGTGAGGTCGTCTGTCTTGATTGTTCACTGATTGGTGGCAAGTGTGGAGGTGTCTAGCGTGCGACGCAAAATCGGTGATGCCACGAAATGATGTTGGTTTAGTTGATTTGGAGAACAGTCGGCTAAAGAGAAGTTCTTGCAAACACGCCGAGGTGCTACCGCGCCGAGTGTGCGCCTCTCCACAACGAAGAAGTAGTTTGAAATGTTCTACGAAATTGGCTAATTGACTTCTCATTCACGCTAATGGATACAATTGCCATTTCATCATTTCCTTTCCCTACCTTAATGATAGGTGTGTTTTAACTGAGTGATTTTGAGTAATAACTACGTTGATTTTGTGAGTGTACGCCTAAGATTTGCCTGAAGGAGCCTTTACCTGTTTTGACCACGATAACTATTGAGGGAACAAACAAGCAAGGCTAGCACGTCTTCTACTCACTAGCAGACGTCGTTCAAATGGTTTATGCTGTTAGAGACAACCGGTGTAATCGGACTAATTGCACTGGTTTGATGTTTGTTGGTGGTCAGTTCTCAGTTCTTGTGGCTGAACAGCACTACTAACCACCGCTTTTGTCATCAACATTTCACCGTACCTGACACTTCAATGTTTGTCACCCTAACCATTCTGCCCGCGTTTCAACTGTCAAAGCAGCAGCCAAGTTAGAACAACGAGCCAGAACCAAATACGACAATATTATTCAGGAAAGTATAAATTTGACCAACGTATTTGCACAGAAGCGTTATAGCTAATTTTGGTTCAGTCAAAGTACAGGAAACGCAATTTGCAAAACAGATTCACCTAAATGTTTGTGTGATTTGCTGCATACCTTCAGCAAATATTCTTTAGATTTTGCTTTAACAGCCGAGCACTTAGGCCTCCGACAGTTTAAATAAACCTCCCAAAACGTAAGACAATAGCACAAAACGCGAGACAGAATAACGCATTCATACATTGTATACCGTTTGTGCATTGTGCGGAATCTAAAAGAAAGCGAAAATACACGGCAGCAAAAGGTCATTTCAAGTCAAAGGCAAAAAGTGTATCGACTATTATAAAAAAAACAGTAAGCTAAACTCTAATTCAGCGCGATACATTTGTTCGTATATAAAGTCGGCGTTTGCAATTGCAAACCTATCATTTAACATGATATTCATGCATTAAATTTTAAAATACTAGCAAGAATCGGTAGATTTTGTTGCCACAGGCAAAAAAAAATCCATGTTCATTGATTCTCCATAATGCTAGAAAGATCTAAAGCATAATGCTAGGCATTAGATTCGAAATTGCTGGCGAGCATCAATGATCTGGCAAAATCGATTTGAATGTAATGAAGGAATAGAGTATGCTAGGGAACACGAAGTCACCCAAGCCGCTAGCCACTAGGTGATTCAAGTCATTGGACCTATTCGAAAGTGTGGTTGATCGGTCCAACTTCGGCCACTCGAAAGAGACATAAGTTTTGATATCAGATTTGCATGCAGGTTCGCGAGATCTGGAATAAAATGTTGGAAGCAGAACGCAATGCCGGTGTCACAAACACGGTCGACGATTATGGAGAATCGAAGTAGGAAAGTGATACCAGCATGTGTGTAAGTTGTACCATTTGAGGGATTTGGACATTTAACCGGCCGGCCAGTTCGCTTGTTGATGAAAATTCTCGCTTTCGTATTAATGACATTTAACGCAATGCTCTTATCAGGAATGTTATCTTATTTAGACGATCAATATCTTAACTGAAGCTGGTTTGCTTCTCCGGAACCCTGGTAGCCACTTCCTCCTCCAATCGATTGACACGTCTTCATAATTTTTGTGTACAACATGACCCATCATATACACTTGACGTATACGCTTCGATCATTGGCGTAGTCAAAAGATGCGGGGGTATCCTGAGACACTTCGAGGTCTTGTCTCCTTAGTTGGAATAGACAAGGCGGTTAATGCATGTCTTTTAGGAACGTCCACTGTGCCTGTATTAACACGTTTTAGTTGCAGTCAGTGTTAAACTAAGACTTCGCATTAGAGTAGACTTTTTCCCTTCGAATTCCACCTCATCTCACGCTAACTACCGTTTTACGCATGGCTGCCTTGAGGAATCAGAGCATGTGCAGTGTTGGTAGGACGTAGCCTCGTCTGGGATCGTCGATGTTGTCGTCTGAGGAGACTTGTAGGAGGTGGAGATGTTGGCACCACTCCCCATTGCCCAACTATCAAACACGTCATTCTCTTCTGACTTCGAGGATCTTTGTGAGCATCATTCGATTTCACCGCAATCGATAAGTCCATGAGTTTGTGGCCCGTTGGTTCAATCTGCCTAACCATTCTGTCTGTGTTTTAACTGTCAAAGCAGCAGAAGTCAGCTTAGAGAAAGTAGCCAGAGCCAAATTCGACTGACGTATTTGCGCAGGAGCATTATGGCTTGGTTTGGTTCAGTTGAAATTCAGGAAACGCGATTTGCAAAACAGTTTCCCCTTAATGTTTGTATGATTTGCTGCACACAATCAACAAATATTCTTTAGCTTGTGCTTCAGTAGTCAAACATTTAGGCCGGCGACACTTTCATTTAAACATGCCAAACACTGACGTCGTTGGCTGTAAATGATGCAAGAGCATAAAACGCGAGGCTTAATTACTCATTCATACGGCAAAAGTTGCTTTTTATTGTAAGGAGTCTGAAAACAAACGAATGCCTAGCAGAATAAGACATGTCGGCTTAATAGCAAACAGTCTACGACTATTCCAAAAGACTAAACTGTTGGCTAGGTTAAAAGTCAGTGCGATATATTTTGTTCACATCTAAATTCGGCGTTTGCCATTAGAATTATACCGTTTGTCAAATCGCTGTTGCCACACGCAGTCTATTCCACAGTTTCATTGAATCCGCATATTGCTAATCAAAAGTGACATTGACGATTGCCTGGATCAGTGGAACAACACGCCAAAAGTGGACCAGATAAATAAGTGTGTTGTGTCTTGGATTCTTGAAAATGCTCAAGGAATATGTTCATAGTACGTCGATGCATTGAAAAGAAATGCAACGACGAGTGTGCATAATGGCGGCATATCAACATTTGATTCTGAATTGTTGGCAAGCGTCAGTGATCTGGCAACTTGGAGGCCTAACGTACAAGACAGCGGATCCGAATTAAGTCAGTCAAAATATTCGAAAGTGGGATTGGTCGACCTCACTTCGTGTGAAAGGCAGTTGTGGGCGAAAGCACTCGTGAAATCAGACAAAAATGGAGGTTCTGAAAAGTAACCAGAAACTAAGTAGCCCAACATTCGTAGATTGGTAAAGTTAGTTTGCAACCGAAAAGACCACTTAACCAAATCATAAAAAATATTGTGGACGCGAAACGCAAAGGCGGTGTCACAAACACAGCCGACAGTTACGCATAATCGAAGCAAGCAAGTGTAACTAACAGCGTGTGGACATGAGAGCCATCAATCAGACTGCATAGTAGTTAGGACAAAGGCGACTTCTACTTGGAATGAGAAGTAGATGTGGAATCAAAGGCCAGTCAAAGACACAGCTTCATTGGAGGCAGGCATACTGCTTGCGAAGCAGACAGTAGGCGATGGTTAGTATCAATGGTTTGGGGGAGCGTCGGATCGCGGGTTGACCTTTTGAGTAGTACTGAGGCGGTGGATGATCAAAGATAGATCAGAGATTGGCAGTGATGCAAATCCTGTTGCGATTGAAATCCCATTAATGATATGTGATCGTTCATCAATCCATGCAAAATCAGCTCCAAACTAATTACTCATAAAATACCACTCAGCGAATTTTTTCAAGCATTCCAGCTGTCTTGTCTCCGGCACACTTCCAACTAGGAGGTGCATTCCCTTCGCGACTGTCGAGCCTGTGATACCCTTACTACTCGTGGAATATCAGTACGCAATTTTTTTACACCTCGACACCCGCCGCATAACTTCACGTTTTCCGTTAACATGCCGTTCTTGATCCAACTAGCCCTGCTTACTCACAGGCGACAAGCAGTGACCTAATTTGCACCT